CATGCCTTACACTCACTACTAGGCTCGAAACTCAATCTCGACGATCTCCTGGCGCCTCTGGCGTCACAGTCGTCCACCCTCCAGTCCCTGAAGCAATCAACCAAAGCCCTTGCGTCCACATCGTCGAAAGCAAAGACGCTGTCCGCCCCGCTTCCCATGAGAGCTCAGGAACGGCTTGACCGTGAAGCCGCATACGAGCAGACGAAAGAGGAGGTCGATAAATGGTCGGGCACGATGAAGAGGATTCGGGAGGTACGAGTGTGCCCGATTTTGCTTATGCGTGCTCACCGCGTCCGTAGGCTGAACATCTAAGCTTCCCGCTGCAAGCCCCGACGGCAGGAAAAGTCTCCAACCTCGAGCTCGCCGCGAAATTCAAGGTATGATTGACTCTCCCCCGATGTGCTAATATTTAACTAAACATTTTTCAGCCCACTACGGCTCTTGAATCCTCGGTCGACGTGCTTCTTAAGTCTGCCAAGCTGCGCGAAGAGGATATTGCTGCGACGGAAGAGACGATGCTCAAGATGAATAAGCTTTCCGTCGAAGAAGTGCAAGCGCGGCGCGGGGAGCTGCGGAAGATGCGCGAGCTGATGTTCCGCGCGGAGATCAAGGCGCGGCGCATAGGCAAGATCAAATCCAAGACGTACCGGAAAATCAAGCGCAAGGAGCGGGAACGGTTGGGCGAGCAGCTTGACGAAGAGGGTGGGAGCGAGACAGAGGAGGGACGTTTGAAGAGGGAGGTGGAGAGGGCAAGAGAGAGGGCGACGCTTAAGCATAAGCATACCGGGAAGTGGGCGAAGAAGATGAGGGCGAGGGAGGGCGTGAATGGGGAGGGGAGGCAGGAGATCGAGGAGATGCTTGCGAGGGGGGAGAAGTTGCGGAGACGAATCAAGGGCGTCGGGAGCGACGATGAGAGTGAAGATGGGGAGAGCGATGAGGGTGAGGATGGTGTGGACGCGGAAGGCGGGATTGAGCGGATAAAGCAGAGCGCGTTCGACGAGCTCGAGAGGATCGAGAGGGAGGATGAGAGTTCGGCGGTAGGGGGCGACGGGAAGAAGAGCAGTAAAAGCATCTTCGAGATGAAATTCATGAAGGATGCGATGGCGCGGCAGCAGCACGCCGCGGACAAAATGGCGGACGACTTCGTCAACGAGATGGGTGGCCGACCCGACCACGAAGACGACAGCGATTTCGAGGACCAGCACGACCGTGACACCCCCAGTGGTGTTGTCGCCCAACGTACCGGCGGGCGCATCTCCTACCACCCAGGCGCGACAGTACGTTTCTTTCGTCTTGCGTTTTGACTGCAAAGCTAAATTCGACTTATTAGAACGCCAACCGCCCAACAACAGCTCGCCCGATAGGCTCCCTTGCGTCCGACACTTCCAGCGTAACACTCCGCTCCACCGACCTCCTCTCGCCACCTCTCTCCCCTCTGGAATTACAGCGCACTGGTGTTCCCCTCCCTACGATCAACGAATCTTCGAATCCCTGGCTCACCCCGCGCGACGAGTCCGGGACCACATCCCTCAAAGTGTCGAAGAAGAACAACGAGGTCGTGGTGGGCAAAGACAGCTCCGCCCTCGCAAAATCGAAGAATAAGCTGAAGAAGATGGCGAGAAAGCAGGCAGGGGAAAAGGCGAAGGCGGTGGATGATGCGGTCGTGGAGATTTCAGTGGACCAGGTGCTTACGCTGCCGTCGAGCACCCCTGCTGTGCCCAAGCCTGCGCCAAAGACCAAGGCGACACCAACGCAGAAGAAGGCTCCTACTCCGAAGGCTACTGTTACCGTCGAGAGGGACGATGGGGATAGCGATGACGACGTGCATAGCGAAGTCGAGGCACAGGAAAAGGCCTTGGATCTGAAAGGGAAAGGCAAAGCTCATCTGCTTGCATTTGAGCAGCGAGATCTCGTAGCACTCGCTTTTGCTGGTGACAACGTTGTTCATGTGCGTTTTTGTCGACTGCCGATCCGATTCTTCCTTTAACCGTGTACATGTAGGAGTTCCAAGAAGCTAAAAAGCGAGAGATCGCTGCTGACGCGCCGCGTGAGGTTGATACAACAATACCGGGCTGGGTAAGCACCTCTTCCTTACTTCGCCTGTCATCAGCGATTGACTGACCGAATCTTATAGGGTTCGTGGGGCGGCGCTGGCACACGGAAAGCACCTCCAAAACCGCGCTACATCAAGAAAGTTGCAGGCGTCGATCCGACGACGCGCGCGGATTATGGCAAGGCGAACATCATTATCTCAGAGAAACGCGACAAGAAGGCTGCGAAGTATATGGTGAAGGACCTACCGTTCCCGTACACCAGCAAAGCGCAGTTCGACAAGACCATGGAGCAGCCTTTGGGCACGGAGTGGAATACGCGGGTTGCGTTCCAGAGGGGAACATTGCCGCGGGTTACTAAGAAGGTCAGTGTCATATGTGTGTGTTATGTGGGTTTACTCATAGCGTTTTGGATTAGCCTGGCATGATCATCAATCCCCTGGAGAAGCTGGGTTCATGAGACTGAGGCCCAGAGAGGTCTCGATCTCGCTGTTCTAAGTATCTATCCTACATAGCTGATATCTCTCAACAACGGAACGACTTCTATTTTACCTTGTTCATTACACTCACGACACTAGCATACTACTATTTTCCTGAACATACAGTGAAACCCACAACCAAAACTTTTTGAAGATCATAATGCCTACTCAATTGGCTGCTATCGCCGACGACTTCGCACCGACATCGATACCCCTGTACAGTTACTGACATCTCACCCCTCACAGGCTCGACCCATGCTCGAGGCTACCAGGACTTTGATGCCGTGTATGTGGTACGTTGGTGGTACGGCGGCCTTATCCCATGGCCCCGCTTTGTTCATATTAGAAACCGGTGCAACTGGTACTCCCATCCACCAGAATTCGAAGCAGTCCAGCACGGATTCTGACCCACGGCTCCCCAACTTGTCAAATGGAGACACGATGCCATCAAACGCAAACCTTAAAAGCTTCAAGCTTCAATTACCGCCGTTCTTATCCTCCTTTATACCTGTAAGTAGGCATCACATCTAAGTCGCGACGTCCTCCTGAACCCTGCGCTCGTTTCATTTCTACTCACGACGTCGACATTGTCGCATACGTTGACTTACTTTCTCTTCTCTCCTAGTAAACCAACCGAAGCTTTCGCTGAGCGCCTTGTGCACGAGTCGGAGTGGGCGGAAATTGCTGCAGTCGAGAACCCTTCATCGTGGAAACGGAATGGATAATGCCCTCACTGCTAAGACTATAGATGCTGGATTCGACTCCGTAGCGCCGCGGTTTGCGAGGTTGATAACTGCGAACAGTCTGGTGCCCATCTCGTCATTACCTTCCGAGCTCTTATCCTACATCTTTCGACTGGGCCAAGCAATGGATTTCGCCATAGTGACTTTAGAGGCCCATTTACGAGTGCTTCAGTCATTTGAAGTCCTGGTGAGCCATGTCAGTTCTCGCTTTCGCGCCGTGGCCCTTGGAACACCTGTGCTGTGGTCCCGCATCACGATAGCCCCTACTTTCCGTGGCGAGGAGATCGATACATACCTAACCCGCTCAGCTCAGTGTGGACTGAAAGTGAGGATGAACCTCGCCAGTGCGCCCTCTCTCAACACTCTACAAATGGAGAAAGTCGACATAATGGTGCCACATTTACGCCAATTTGAGCGTCTTGCTATCAACACCACCTATGAATCCCGCTTACAGCCTATATTGCGACGCCTCTACCATTCTGCAGCTCCTATGCTGCAGCACCTTTCCGTCGCCGTCGATGAAGTGGAAAGTGTTCCTCCGGAAGACGACAAGATTCTCCAAGGAGGCGCGCCCATCCTGACGTTTGTGCGACTGCGCGGCCTCGCACTCCACCTCTTCCGTCCTCCTTTAACTAATGTGACCACTCTACATCTCGACGAGACCACTGGCCTTCCTATGCTCTACACTACATTCCGCGAGATAATTACCGCACCATCCATCCTATATAATCTATCCGTCTACGGCGACCTCATCGCGCCTCAAACCAATACCAACTGGGACACCAACGTAATCAACCTCCCGTACCTGCGCCACCTGCGCATATGCGGCGTAGGTGGTGCTATATACAGCGGCCTGCTCATCAACATTCGCGCCCCCGCGCTCGAGTCGCTCGTCCTCAAGGACCTCAAAGAGGGCGACCTTTCGCATTTTTGGGCTTCGGAATACCCTATTGCCACACGCTTCCCCCTTCTCTCCAGCCTGACGTTCCTCGACTCAGACGTATCGTGCGACGAGTACCTAGAGATGTTCCACGTTTTCCCCGATATCACGTCATTTACCGCCGCATACGAAATGAGGACGCCCACGTTATTGCAGTTGCTGTCCACGCCACAGCCCGACGCAGAACCGAGCCGCGATCCCAAAATCATGTGGCCCAGATTGCAGACGCTCACGCTGCTTGTAAATCTGCACGACATGGAGCATGTGATTGTGGATGTGGTGGAACGTCGCAAGGCCCTTAGGTATCCTCTGACGAAGCTACGGCTTGGCATACCGCATCCCTTGTCGGAGCTGTCGCAGTACGCGTGGTTGAAAGAAAATGTGGCTCTTGAGAGGCTCGTGGAGCACGACGGGTGGCCCAAAGCTAATGCAGCCTTCGACGCTGACCCAGATGATAACTTGTTTGCTTGAATAGTGGTGATGGGACGGTGTCCGTCGATGCAATGATAATGCAGGTGTTCTGGTGAGTCGTGACCATCACGGTGCAATTGTGTGCAGCAGACGAGGAGGATGACGGTTTTTAATTAGAGGAGACTTCAACCGTGCCTCTTTGGCTCAGTTGGTTAGAGCGCAGGTCTCATAGAAATATGACGCAAGTCTTGCGGTAATCCTGAGGTCAACAGTTCGAACCTGTTAAGGGGCAGCGCCACCTTTTTTCTAGACTCTTCGTGTTCCATTGGCTTTGCACGTCTGGAAGAGGAAGATGTGCAAGCCCGAGATTCACACCGCCTCTTTGGCTCAGTTGGTTAGAGCGCAGGTCTCATAGAAATATGTCGCAAGTCCATGCTTGTGGTAATCCTGAGGTCAACAGTTCGAACCTGTTAAGGGGCACAGACTCTTTTGTAGAGCTGGGATTTTATGTAGAATCGCTTCAAGAAAGGTGATGAGGATGTTGAAATAAGTGATGGGTGACATAATCAATGTCAAGGTTCCATTTTTTTCTGCTCTAGTTTGCTCTCTCCTGGAACTTTTAAGTAGCTCATCATTCTCCATCGTTCTCCAATTATCTAACAACCTACTTTCGACGAGAAAAAAAAAGAGCAGCCATGATCCCGCCGCAGCCGCTTCTTACCAATGCAATTTCTCAGCAACTGCTACTGTGGCCGCCAGAAGTTCCAGAAATAGCGTTTCTTCGTCATTTCCTCGTGTCTACACAGGCACTTATGTTGCCCGGATCTATCATTCATTGTGTGTATCAATTGCGATCGATCATCTGGGTACACGGTTGCACGCTATTTGGGCGAGTCCACACGTTATCCTCGTCAGGCGACCTCGGGTGCCAAGGTCAAGGTCAAGCCAAGTTAGCCGCATCCTGATTGATCTGATCTGAGTGGCGCACACGCGATCCCGCTCTACTCCCGCGCTTCATGGAAACATTTTCAAGGCGCTGAATGTCTTACTAGTTGCAAAACAGCTTTTAATTACAGCCTTAAAGTCAAATGCTGTTCGCTGAACGGACGACAGGCTTATATCACGTCAAGAAATCGACAATGACAAGGGTATTGATTGGGAGTCGAGGTGAGAACGACCGGTCACAATTGACGAGATGATATCATTGATATGAAGAATGAAGAAATGAAAGCCCGCCGCATGGGTTCCTTTCGGGACAGGCCTAGGTAGGCCGCCTGCGAACGCGGTAACATCTTTCATGCGCTACTTCCCATAACCTGGGGCCGCGAGTATCGCTCTCAGTCCATCTCACTCTGGCTACGATGTCCTCGCGACGTATTGTCGTCGACGATGCCGACGGGGCGATACGATACACTGGCTCGGGCTGGTTCCGGGATTCGGGCAGTCAGGATGGCTTTGGAACATACGGCGAGACGTATAGGCACACCTTACATGGAACGAAAACGAGCGGCGCTCTTTCATTTCCTTTCAGAGGTCTGCCATCGCCAGCTACTACATTTTAGTTGCTGACCGCTCTTCCATGATGAGAATAGGGAGCTCCGTAAAGCTTTTTGGAACGGTCAACATCAAACTCAATAATCCTGATGCTGGCTTCAATGCGGGCTACAATCCCTCCTGGAAATGCTTTGTCGACGGCGTCAGCATCGGTGTAGTGCAACCTTCTCGATACCGAGAAAACAACTGGGTGCTTTGCGAAGCTACGAGACTGGATGACGGTGCACATGAATTGTCCGTTGAAGCCACGGTATCCGGTGATGGCACATTCTGGATCGATTATATCCAGTACACACCATCCGGGAGCGCATCCTCTAGCGATACTGTTTTTCTCGTTGACAATTCGGACTCTGCCATATCATACGACGCGAACTGGCGGGATATTGGTGGTGTGGCCAAACACACCTCGACTACTGGGTCTCAAGTGCGCCTTGACTTCACAGGTGCGACATCTGATTCGCGTACAAGTTTTGGATTTGCTGACTTTTTCAAAGGCAATCAGCTGACCTGGGTTGGGTACATTCCCATCGATCGTCCCCGCAGTTCCAGCTCAGCGTCTTATTCCATCGACGGCGGCTCCTCGGTCTCCTTCTCACTTGCAGGGCTGCCTCCCTCAGACGGAACGTCAAAATTTAACCAAATATTCTTCACCACGCCGAAACTATCGGATAGCCAACACTCTTTAATCGTTACCTACAACGGCAATCCACAAGAGACTCCCCTCACATTGGACCACATCTATCTCACTGGTTCTTCTTCGACATCGAGCCCGAACCCCCAGAACCCTCCGAATAACCCAAACAACCCGAATAACCCAAACAACCCGACCAACCCGACCAACCCGACCAACCCAAGCAACCCGAACAACCCGAGCCCAGACCCGCCTTCGCCGCCGAATCTTTCAAACTCACCCTCTGTATCGTTGTCCATTGAAACGATCACGACTGGCGACATCATTACAACCTCTATTTCTGGGTCCGGTGCTCCTGGGGCGACGCAGACGACACAGGTCTTGGTTTCCGGTGTAAGGACAGTCACTGCACCAGGGTCCCGGGAAACCCAAACCCTATCGGTGGCACCTCCTCCCGGAGTGCCAGGATCTAGCGCCGCACAATCAGCTCCTCCAATCGGCGCCATAATCGGCGGCGTAATTGGGGGAATCATTCTCATCCTCGCCCTCATCCTACTTCTTGTGTGTCGGCGACGAAGGAGACAGCGATCAGGCGATTTCTGGCGCCGTCGGCAGAAGTCGATGGATGTGACACACCGCGATGGTTTGGAGCCATTTCCTACGACATTCAGCCACTCGACCGGACCTCACTCCTCGAGTGGCCGTGACAGTAGCCCACATGATAGCCAGCATCAGCTCATATCACCCGACACCTCGTCCCCCGACGCCTATATGGGTGGCTACTTATCAGGTGCTCTCGCGCGATCACTTCCTTTGTCGACCAGAAAGCAGGCAGACGCTACCGCGACGTCCGGAAACATAAACCACGTACCGATTATTGCGGTACCAGTTGCTGGAAGCGAGAAAGGTGAGACTGAAGACACGCTATCAGAGGATTTACCAGAAATTCCACCACCACCCCGTTATTCGTATCATCATTAGTGGGCTTGTTGCCTATATTTTTTCGTGAAGGACTTATTTTAGGAGTTGGTAATAACTGTAGATGCTCAAGGTGCTGCTTGTACTACGAGTTGTACTTGACGACATCATCATCCACATTCGTTGACATTTGACATTTTCATTGGAATCGACTTCAGCTGCCAGCTGCTTAGTACTTAGTAGTAGTTATTGTTATCGTTATTGTTACGAGGGAGTAGTAGTAGTATTCTACCATGAATTCAATCTTTTGAATTCAGAATCCGTCGGCTCGGCAGTCGGAAGTCGCGCAACATGTTGCACCACTTCATTATCGCTCGCGCTCGCCCTTGAGCCTCACATTTCAAAGCCAATTTCGATGGAGAGGAACGCTCAAGTGGTTCAGCGTTCAGCCTCGATTTTAGGCCTTAATTGCTGATTCTCTCGGACTCCTTCCGACCTCCTTGGCTCTCCTTGGTTCACGACGAACGTGCACACCCGACGTGCAGTGTGTACACATTGCCGTAGCCTCCTTCAGGCTCCTTGAGCAGGCTTGAGGCCATGGTGCCGTGAATTCTGGAGACTTTCAATTGACTTCCCGGCTGCATGGTCTTGAGAATACGCGAATTCAACGTCAAGAATCAATTCTATTTCGTTTCAAGGGGCCAGGCAGGGGACATGAGTACGTCGGTGTTGAACCCCTTCCGATACATCTAACCTTTTTTCAGTTTTAAATTGGCAACCGTATGGAACCATTTCCTCCTCCGCCTATATTTCGGCCAACTACCGGCACTGCCAGCAGCCAATGGTTGTGAAACTGGGTACCGTACACATTCCCGGGCCCGATGAGTCATGATCGCCATCTCTCTGCACCACACGTTGACAATAAGTGACGATATTATCTGATCATCGGTACTTCTGTACAACTCTATTCGTTCAGCTTCGGCCCACCTAAAATTTCTAAAGATCAAGCTGTTTTGATGCGCCTCAAGCGCATCATGCGCTGCGGCAACAATTTCTCCATTCCACTCCCACTTCTTTCACTCCGTCTCGCGGCAGTAGCTTCTACTGGGATTGTACACGATGGCTCTAAACCGGAAGGTCATGATCGACGACGCCGACAATCGGATACGATACGAAGGTTCGGGGTGGGTCCAGGATATCACAGGCTCCCAGGATGAGTTCGGGACGTTTGGGGCCACTTATAACCATACGCTGCATGCGACGACATTTAACGACAGTTTGGCTTTCTCTTTCCAAGGTGTGTATCCTTCTTCGATATGTTTCGTCATCGCTAATCCTCTGGTGGTTAGGAAGCTCCATTAAAGTCTTTGGGTCTGTCAATCTGTCTCCGACGTACGGGAACGCCATCAACGATGCTGCTTCTCGACCTCCTTGGGAGTGTTTCGTTGACAACGTTAGCATCGGGACCTCTAAGCTCACTCCTTATCGCGAGAATAACTGGGTCCTTTGCGAGAACAATCACATCGGCGAGGGGCCACATGAACTTACCCTCAATATCACTATGAGGCGTGGAACCACGTTCTGGATTGATTACCTTCAATATTCTCCATCTCAGGAACCTCCCGATAAATCCGTCATTGTTGTGGACAGTAACGACCCAGCGCTTTCTTATGACGGGAGTTGGCGACAGACCGTTTCGGGACAGATGATGCAGACGACGACAAAAGGAGGAAAAGCGGAATTCAACTTCACCGGTGTGGCCTCATCCAACTTTCCTGCCTATTTTACATCTAATCCCTATTGGAATCAGGCACTCAGCTTACTTGGGTGGGCTACATACCGGTCGAACTGCCTGGGAACAGCAGTTCCGCGTCGTACGCCATCGACGGCGGCTCGCCGAACTCCTTCAACCTTTATGGACACCCACCTACCGATGGTACTTCGTCCTTCAATCAACTCTTCTTCACGACGCCACAGCTTGCGCCTGGCCCACACTCAATCGCTGTCACCTACAACGGGAACGCTCAATACACGCCTCTCACGTTGGACTACATCTACCTCACGACCTCTCCTTCAAAAATTGCTGCAGGCGCGGACCCATCAGCGGACCCATCAGCGGGATTTACGAAACCACTAGGTGCCACCAAGCGGGTTCGGGTAGGAGCCATAGTTGGTGGCGTTATCGGCGGCGTCGCTGTCGTTATCCTTATTGCTTTCATCTTTTTCTGGCGTGCGCGGCGAAGGAAAGCCATGTCCGATCGGGCCTCCGCGAGTTCCTTTGTTCAATACGCGAGCGAGGCCACATACAATCCCTCACATACGGACCCAGTCCCAGTGGTTCCCGGTCGTGCCTTTCCCCTGCATTCAACCCGCAATA